CCCCACCACCGAGCCACGCCGGCCAGGCTATGGGACGGCCTTTAGAAAGGACGGTGGAGGACAGGCCATTCGGAAATATCTGCACATTACATCAGAAGCCAGCTAATAGTTCCCGTAACTATTAATACAGTGGCATTCGCTGTTCCGGGAAAGGCGGTTTATTCATAATAACCAGACAGCAGCAGCCCCTGGAGAGGAAGCCAGGGACACTGTGAGGGCAGGTGTAAGGACCCTCACGTGCAGCCGGGAGCCCTTAAGCCTCGGGCTCTGAGAGCTCCTGAGTCAGCGGAAGGAAGGAGCCACTCCTGTCGCCTCTGCAGTGGGAGGTGCTCATGGCCATGTGACTTTGGAGGGCTTGTCCGTCTCAGTGTTTTTTAAAAATACATTTTTATTGATTTCAGAGAGAGGAAGGGGGAGGGACGGAGAGAGAGAAACATCCAAGATGAGAGAGAATCATGGATCGGCTGCCTCCTGCATGCCCCACCCCAGGGATTGAGCCTGCAGCCCGGGCTGGTGCCCTGACCGGAATCGAACCCTGACCTCCTGGTTCCTAGGCTGACGCCCAGCCCCTGAGCCACGCCGCCGGCCGTCTTGCGGTATTTACCATTGAGTGGAGCGTCTTTGGGAGTCTAGCTTCCCTCCGTGTTAAAATGCACTCCCTCATGTGTCCCGGTGAGCATTCTGGTCTCGCTGTCTAGTTCTCTTTTCCTCCCTCCCGTCCACGCGCAGTTCACCTGCAGGAGAAGGAAAGGGGTCAGGTGGGAGCTAAGTGGTACCCAGGTTCCGTCCGTCCTCCCCCCACGTTTCCCATCCTCTCCCTCCTTTGCTGGCTGTGCTTTGCTGTTTGAGTCCAGGGCTCCTCTGTGGGGAGGGGCGGTCGGGTGGCTGCAGGGGACAGAGCCCTGGGGCTGAGAGAAGGTAGGTCTGAGTTGCGGTGGACAAAGCAGATGGCGGCACCTTCCCCCTGAGCGAGCTCATCTGTGAGGGGAGCGGATGGTCTCCTCCAGCTGCTGCCACCTCGACAGGCAGCAGCCATGGTGCCTGGGCCCTGGAATTTCTCGGGATCTCAAGGGACAGCAGACTGTGAGTGTGAGCCGCACACCCGTATGCAAATGATTTCTATTGATACCTAATGTATGTAGATTTATGCGGCTCAGTAGAGGAGACAGTATGCGCTTCCCAGAGTGCTGTGCACCTGGAGTGTTAGTTTTATGGGCGCAGTCATGTGTCCACGGTCCTACTTCCTGCTGCTTCTCAGGGACATTTCCATCACCCCCAGGCCCTCACTGTACCCCAAAAGCTCTCACCTGCACCTCAAAGGCCCTCACCTCACCCCCATGGCCCTCACTGTACCCCAAAGGCCCTTACCTGCACCCCAAAGGCCCTCACTGCACCCCAAAGACCCTCACTGGCACCCTGAGGCCCTCACCTGCACCCCAAAGGCCCTCACTGTACCCCAAAGGTCCTCACCTGCACCCCAAAGGCCCTCACCATACCCCAAAGGTCCTTACCTGCACCCCAAAGGCCCTCACTGCACCCCAAAGGCCCTCACTGCACCCCAAAGGCCCTCACTGCACCCCAAAGGCCCTCACTGCACCCCAAAGGCCCTCACTGCACCCCAAAGGCCCTCACTGCACCCCAAAGGCCCTCACTGCACCCCAAAGGCCCTCACTGCACCCAAAGGTCCTTACCTGCACCCCAAAGGCCCTCACTGCACCCCAAAGGCCCTCACTGCACCCAGAGGCCCTCACTGCTCCGGCCTGGGTTCCGGTCAAGAATCCCCAGCTCCAGAGGCTGCCCCACCAGGGGCTGCGCTCCCCTGTCTGCGGGGGAGGGGGTGGTGGGGGGTGGAGGGTGGT